GTCACCTTCCTTGCTTGCCGGGCTGTGTCGGCCTCCACGTGGGCCTGGGAGCCAGCTGTTGGCACCATGCCTGGTGTCTACCAACGTTGGATCCACGAGCCTCCGGACACGCCGGCCTGCAGCCAGGTGACTCCGAAGGGGGCCTTGGGGAGCATCAGCCCGCTGGACTGGGCTGGGCTGCCTTCCTGACATAAAGTCACTTCTGGGTATAAAGCTCTTTCTTACACGGATTTGAGTGCCACTGGCTTTCGTTGCTCTACACAACCCAGCCTGGCACACCAGCCACTGAAAACCTTAAGGAGCCCGGTCCCGCTCTGACCCACGGCTAATGCCAAGCATGAGGTCCTCCGCCAGCGATGACTCCCTCCTGCGGACAGGCCCAAAGCACGCGAGCCGGACAACGTCCCGTTGCGGTCTGTTTCCACGGCTCAGTGTTGGAAGGAGAGCACCAGCCTTGCTTCCTCGTCTCCTTCCGGCAGCTTGGCCGCCGCGGGTGCGTCTGTTGCTATTTTTGAATACCGAGCGTAACGTCCGGCAAGCAACGCACCAGCCACACAGCATGACACACTGATAGCTGGGTGGTGGCCAGAGGCCGGAGGACTCAGGAAACAAACTTCCTGTCATGCTGTGAGTATAAATAGTGTGTTGAACGAGGGAGAAGAATCTTGAAGAATCTGGATCAATTTTCCGTTTCTCGCCCTTGACGGTCTCCTCTTCCTTCCTGAAGGGCTGCTGCCCAGCTGCTGAGGGGGCTCCCGCCCTGCTGTACCTGGATACAGCGTAGTCCGGGACCGTCAGCGCTCTGGGCTGGCCTTCTCCGTGCAACCACTGGCCTCTCCCCATGCTCAGGGAGACGATCAGCCCAGAGGACAGACAGACCAGGTGAACCATGATCTGCCCTTTACGATCCTGAGACCACAACTCGACACTGCCCAGCTGCCAGGGTCGACAGCTTTTCAAAGGAGCATGTCAGAAGGTCGCAAATAGAGTCAGGGGAACATGTAGGGGTGGGGGTGGGGGTAGGACTCAGAATCACAAGAGCCTAGACTAGCTGGTCTGGGAGAGACTAGTGGGGCCTGGCGCTACGGGCCTGAGACACCCTTCAAACCTGGAGCCAAGCCCACCGAGGGGGTCTCCTTCTAGTCTGTGGAGTGAACAGTAACGCCCGCGAGGGATGTGGTCCTCACAACAAACACCACGCGTGTCCAAAGGGGCAGCTTTTGCCTGAAAACTGAGCTCAGGAGGCAGGCAGGGGCAGGAGAGACGGACAGAGCGACAGACGGACGCCCTGGGAACCCAGGGAAGAGGGACAGCAGTTAACATCATGAAACACAGGGTGCGTAAACTGTTGAATGGAAAACTAGTTTTCTCTGTAAACTTCCATCCAAACCACAATGACGAAATGCAACCCCAACGGGGGTCTGGGGAAGGTGGGTACAAGGCATTCCTGCGTGTGCCAGGCCGAGAGACCTTCCAGAACACCTGACTCCCACTGCAGATGCCTCTCTTCAGCGGGGGTGGGTGGTGGGGGTGGTGTGTGTGTGTGTGTG